CAAGGTCATCCTTTAAATCAATTGAACGGAATACATGACCATTTGATTTAATTAACAGCGACGTATGTGATTTGAAACTTGTACAAACAAGATGTGGCAACAAGTACTTCATTACTTTTGTCAACGATAGCACAAAATACTGTTATGTGTATCTGCTTAAAAGTAAAGATAAAACTATAGAGAAATTTATTCTCTATAAGAATGAAGTTGAAAATCAACTCAATAAGAAAATGAAAGTGCTGAGAAGTGATTGAGGCGGTGAGTATGAAACACCATTTGCTGAATTCTGTACACAACACAGAATCATACATGAAACCACCATACCTTATTCACCACAACAAAATGATGTTGTTGAAAGAAAAAATAATACCTTAAAATAAATTATGAATGCAATGTTAGTAAGTTCTGGGTTACCTCATAACATGTGGGGAGAAGCTGTATTATCAGCAAATTACCTTTTAAATAAGGTGCCCCGAAAGAAAATGGAAAAGACCTCCTTATGAGTTATGAAAATGAAGAAAGTGTTCCTATAAATACTTACGAGTGTGGGAGTGTTTTACTAAAATGGCCGTTCCAACACCTAAGAAGATAGAGATATGCCCGAAAACTGTAGATTGCATCTTAATTGGCTATGCACATAGTAGTAGTGCTTATCAATTTTTTGTGTATGAATCTAAAATCCCATACATACACAAAAACACGATATTGTAATTAAGAAATACTTCATTCTTTGAACATATATTTCCATACAGATCCAAAGAGGAAGCAAGCTCTTCTAAACGGACATATGAGATTACAATTGAAAATAGTCAGGACCAAGAATGAGAAGATGAGATTGAGGTTGAACCAAGATGTAGCAAACGTGAAAGGGCAGTAATATCTTATGGTCCTAATTTTCTGACCTATATGCTAGAAAATGAACTTCAAAGTTATCAAGAAGATGTGAACTCTTCAAAGGACCTCAATGGAAAGATGTCATTAAAAGTGAAATAGATTCCATACTGCAAAATCATACATGAGAGCTAATAGATCTTCCTTCAGGAAGTAAACCACTAGACTACAAATATATTTTCGAAAGGAAAATGAAAGCAGATGGAACTATATAAAAGTATAATGCTAGATTAGTAATAAAAGGTTAAGACAACGGGAAGACCTTGATTACTTTGACACATATTCTCCAGTGACGAGAATAACATCTATTAGGATGATACTTGTGATTGTTGTTTTACGAAATCTTGAAGTACATCAAATGGGTGTTAAAACTACTTTCATGTATGGAGAGTTAGAAGAAGAAATATACATGGAACAACCCGAATGGTTTTCATCACTAGGGCAGGAAAAAAAAGTCTATAAATTGGTGAAGTCGTTATATGGCTTGAAACAAGTACCAAAACAATGGCATGAAAAATTTGACAATGTTATGATGGAATGTGGGTTTAAGATTAACGAGTATGATAAATGTGTCTACGTCAAAGACACTGAAAATAGTTATGTCATTTTATGTCTTTACGTTGACGAAATGCTTATTGTTGGTAACAATGATAAGATGTTAATTCCACTAAAAATATATTAAATTCAAGGTTTGACGAGAAAGATATGGGTTTAGCTGATGTAATACTTGGAATTGAAATAAGTAAAACATCAGATGGACTCCTTCTAAGCCAATCACATTATGTGGACAAAATTTTAGAAAAATTCAGTAAGGATGATACTGGAATGGCTTGAACAACGATAGATACGAGTCAGCATCTATCTAAAAACAAAGGTGAGAGTGTCTCACAAATAGAATACTTTAGAATTATTGAAAGTCTGATATACTTGATGAGTTGTACAAGACCAGACATAGCATACACAGTTAGTAAACTGAGTTGATGCAGGAGTGATCTAGGAGCTAACAACTGGAAATGAATAGTAAGAGTACTAAAGTACTTAAGATATACTCGTAATTTTGGACTGCACTATACCAGATATCCATCAGCAACTGAAGGATATAGTGATGCAAATTGGATATCTGATATAAAAGACTCTAAATCCATTAGTGGATTTGTGTTCACATTGGGAGGTGCAGCTATATCCTGAAAATCCTCTAAACAAACCGTTATAGCTAGATCTACCATGGAATCTGAGTTTACAGCTTTAGATAAATGTGGTGAAAATGTTGAGTGGTTTACGCAACTTTTTAGAGGATATTCTAAGATAGCCGAAATCTGTGCCAGTAATTTACATATATTGTGACAGTCAATCAGCAATTGAAAGGGCACAGAGTAACATGTACATGGTAAGTCTGGACATATACGTCGTAGACACAATACCATAAGACGACTACTCTCAACTGAAGTTATCACTATTGACTATGTAAGGTCAAAAGATAATATTGTGAATCTACTAATCAAATGGTTAAATAGAGAGTTGGTTGGGAAATCATCGAAAGGAATAGGACTTAAACCCTTGAACATATAAGTTAATACAAAGGAAATCCAACATGATTAATTGGAGATCCCAAGATCTAAGTTCAAATGGACAAACTAATTGTAAAAACTTAATTAAATAACTGGGGGATTATGTTGTCTCATGTTCATTCTTATGATGCAATGGTGATACCCGTAAGGATGAAGGATAAGCAACAAGATTTTAATGATTCTTATGCGTCGAAAATTGAGCCAAGTAATGCGGATTGCTTGTAATAAGAAAACACCTATGTGAGATAGAAGTGGGGTCGCTTCTAAGAGAATTGTGTATGGTTCAATTCTTAAGAACTCTCGTAGAACCAGGCATATGTTCATGGCAAAAAACGAACATGATAATGAGAACTGAATTGTGTTAGAAAGAATCTAGTGTGAAGTATATAATCATTTACATAAGCGTCAGAACAGTTCAAAGACAGCGCATGTACTGGTCATCTAGTAAAGTAAATATGCTTTCATAAGGAAATGTTCAAAGGGTAATACATACATATTATATGCAGGTTTCAACCGTTGAACTTTATCATCAAGTCTTTGTTTCACGTTTTATGTCTCTCCCAATTTTCATTCATGTGGGAGATTGTTGGAAAAAATGAGGTGAATGGCTGATTTTGGCATAAATTTTGAGGGGACCCATTTGCTTATATTGGAAGATCAACATTGATTTGTATTATCCTCCGTGAGAATATCGAAATCATGTATTTACTTGAAGTTCGGCTGAATGAGAAATTGGAGTTCAAAGTGGACCGTTGGAATATGGTTTATGATGGAGGGATAAACTAAATTTGAGTTTATCTCATATATGAAGTTTATGAAAGTAAGAACCATTTCATATATGGCTACACATTGGAAGTGTGTAATCATGTGTAACACAGAGGCTCTCTCCACATGTGTACGCAATGGATTGCAAATCACAGACCGAAATAGGCTTCGGACCTTGAACTTGTGTGCTGGCACGACCTACATACACGAATGTCAGACCGAATTGACCAAAAACTGGTTCCTTAGGAGAGCCTACGTTTTGCCAATTTTTTTCTATCAACAACTGGCTTTTGATTTTTGAAACTGCTAAAACTCCAATGATTATTGTCATTAAGTTTGAAAATGTTGAAACTCCAATGGGCGTTTAGTTTATGAAACTCCAATGATTATTTTCATTAACAAAGCCAAAAGCTACCTTCTCTGATATAGTGTTTTTCGTCCTCTCTCTACTAGTGTCTACATAGTCATTTGTAGTAATTTTCATTCATGTGGGAGATTGTTGGAAAAAATGAGGTGAATGGCTGATTTTGGCATAAATTTTGAGGGGACCCATTTGCTTATATTGGAAGATCAACATTGATTTGTGTTATCCTCCATGAGAATATCGAAATCATGTATTTACTTGAAGTTCGGGTGAATGAGAAATTGGAGTTCAAAGTGGACCGTTGAAATATGGTTTATGATGGAGGGATAAACTAAATTTGAGTTTATCTTATATATGAAGTTTATGAAAGTAAGAACCATTTCATATATGGCTACACATTGGAAGTGTGTAATCATGTGTAACACAGAGGCTCTCTCCACATGTGTACGCAATGAATTGTAAATCACAAACCGAAATAGGCTTCGGACCTTGAACTTGTGTACTGGCGCGACCTACATACACGAATGTCAGACCGAATTGACCAAAATCTGGCTCCTTAGGAGAGCCTACGTTTTGCCAATTTTTTTCTATCAACAACTGGCTTTTGATTTCTGAAACTGCTAAAACTCCAATGATTATTGCCATTAAGTTTGAAACTGTTGAAACCCCAATGGTTATTGCCATTGAGGTAATGGATATATTTAATTCGTTATTACTGGGGTTAAGTCTATATGAAGCCTCGTTTTTTCACTGTTCCGACATGAAGAATACCCTATCTAATATGAAATTGTCCTATGTCTGCATACATAATTTACTGTCTGTCAAAGTTTTGGAGGTGATATTGTTAGGATACTAAGTCAATTTACTGGAGTAGAATTCGCAGTGCTTGGACTCTTCTGGTTTATCGTTGTATCCTAAGAAACATATGCTAAAATAAAATCTCAAGCACCTATGGTCAGGGGATAATCTGTTTTAAGGAAACTGTGTTAGCACATGCCTCGATTTTTAAAATTCAATTGAATTTTTATCTCTACTATTTAGATTATTTGTTATATTTTATCGTGATTTAAATTATTTAATATGCTATATCTTAGCTATTATTCTGTAAGTTATTGTTTACACGGTGCAAATCCAGTATTTCTGTTCGTTGTATATACGGTATGTTAGTTGCATATCCAATATGTGTTGTAAATCCGGTATTTGTTAAATCGGTATTCGTTCACGAATATTTTAGATAATAGTTAAAAGAAAATTTGAATTCTGATGCGTAATACGCAGCTGTAAATGTACTTTATAATTTGGTTGATGATCAAGAGCATGTTAAAATTATTGCTAAAGTACAGATAGTTGCGAATGCGCTATCAGAAGCGTCTATCAGGGTTCAAGTGAGGTTGGTGAAGTTGGTGCCGAGGATGGTCGAGATGGATTTTAAAGTGGAAGAAGAGTTTGGGATGGAGAATGTAACGAGGCCGCTAGTGAGTCTTTTGGGTATGGATGTAGATTTGGAGGATTTTAAGGATGAGGGGACGCGTAGGATTGTTACTCGTTTGCATTCGATGGTTCAGATGTATAAAGATATAGTGAGATGTGGTGGTAGTAGATTGAGTAGTAGTAGTAGTAGTAGTAGTTTGGATGGGAATTCGATGGAGGTAAAGTTGACTACTTTGTGGATATTAGCTAGAGGAAGTTTATTGAATAGTAAGAAGATTACGGAGACTAAGACCTTCTTTGTTTTGGTGAAGATTATCGAGAAAGAAAGAGGAAAATTTCAAGTCAATTGTTTGCTGATGGTGATGGAATTGGCTGCAGTTGCTGAGTTTCATGTTGATCTTAAGCGTTTGGCTTTCATGCCAAATTCAGTGGCTGGAAAAGCCATTTTGGATCAACTTTTGAGGGTGATAAATGAGAAGAGTATAGCTTTGGTGATTCTGGTTACTAAGGTAATAAGTTGTTTGGCAAGGACGTTTCCAGTTAAGGAAACACGTATAATTACGCCTTTGTTGCTCTTGTTGAAGTAAGGAATTCTGAAGTGGTCGTCGAAGCAGCTAAAACTTTGGGAAAGTTTGTTTGTGAGGATAATTTCAATAGAAAGGAACATTCCAAGGCCATTTTCGAGTTTAATAGGTGCCAAAACTCATGAATTTTTTTAGGACTGGTAATCGAGTCCAGTTGCATTTGCACGAGCTTTTGTTGCTGTGCAACCTTGCAATAATGTTGGTAACAGCAAGGCTCTCAAACAAGAAAGAGAGTTGAGTGTTCTTGAAGAAGTGGCTCAACATTTTGTAATACAGCATCCTGATTTGAGAAAGTCATTTTCTAAGGCAATACACCAGGTTACACTATACCAGATTGGAGCTCATACACATATAAAGGCTTAGGCACTGCAATGGCTCACCTAGCTGCAAAGTGAATGCATAGAGGTTTCAGTACTGTAAAAGTAAATTTGGGACCATGAATTTGATTTTATATAATGCTCGTGGATTGTAATGTCAAAAAAATTACCTATCATTGCCACTTAAAAAAGAAAAATGATCTGCATAGCTGACCTCAATTTTGTTAGGACTACGATCTAATTTATTATCATTGGAGGAAGGAAGATGTTTGTTTTTTGCATGGCATTCTAAAAGTTAGTGTTGTACATTACAGATGAATGGAACTTTTATAGAAAGTGTAGATTCAAACGTATAGTTGACATGTTCACTCGAGTCTACAATAAGTACAATGAGAATGGGTGCACGTATATCCAAATTAAAAGGTGTAATTTCAAGAAGAGAAACATGTGGGACATATTGATATGTGATACTTAGTGTCGTACATGTGTTTCACGGGGCCTGAGGCGAATTTTAGAATTTGGGCACGTCGAATGTGTTCTTTCATTATTGGATTAAATTCAACAACCATTTCTATCATTTGCAAAAAAAAAAAAAGTCAATTATTCTCAACATAAAGTTGCTCACAATATCCTCGAAATGCCAAAGTGTTTTTAGAGACTCTTTTCACAATAGCAATTATCATCGTTAACACTTGTTTCCAATGTTCTCTTTCTTTGTTGATGGCCAATTGTATACTTTCATCAATTGTATGTTTTATTTGAAGCCTATGTTCTAGTTCCATCCAATTAGTCATGCAGCCAATATGCTCCTTAGCCACTTCATGATTTGTAAGGCACCAATGCACATTATGCCAATCTTAATAATTTTCATTACCCAGTTGACCAATATTTTCATCGTTTTGCGTCTTATACAACTTGTAGCAAAAACAAAAGATCTTGTCTAAAGAAATTGAATACACTAATCATCTTCTATCAGTTGTTTGCCCATTTGTAAGTAACCACTTATATTGCGAGGATTCAAAATGTCTTCATTGACTATTTTTGAGAAACAAGATGTCATCAATTCTTTTAAGACCCATTTCAACTAAAAAGTCCCTTATCTTTTTATCAATGTGAACATCATTCCAATTTTCATGATCCTCAAAATTCAAAGAAAAGCAATTCTCTTAACTTAAATCTTCATGTTGAATATTATCTTCATCATTAAGCTTTGATTCATCCACATTGGCAGGTTTAACCATTTCCTCGTGTTCTTTCTGTTCATCCACATTATCATTATCATTCTGATTCTGTTGTTCCTCAATCACTAACTTTTCTGGTGTTCCTTCCTTCCTTCCTTCACTTCTCTTTTCTTGTTATTAATGCACTTATCCATATCTCCACTCTGACTTCGAATTAATGCCTCTACTCTTTCTCTATTCTTCTTCTTTTGAGCTCCAGATACATATTTAGAAGTCATGGTATTTGACTCAAGTCACTCAAAGCTAACAATTACTGAAAGATGAAAAAGCAAAAACAAAAAATAAGCTGCAGGAATCCCAAAGCAGTCCATAAATAATATCCAAGCAAAGCTCACATAATAAAGACAAAATGGAAATGATAACATTTTTACTTTTTTAAGTCTCAATTTTTATTTTTATGACTTGGGATTGGGACCCAACATGGCCATCCCTTTGTCTTAATAGACTCAATCATAGCCTACGTGGACTCTGAACCAAATGCTCTGTCCAACTACACTCAAAAGAAACACCATTTTCCCATTTATATTCAATCAAAAAAAATAAAAATAAAAATAAAACCTTCTTGAAATTCAACCATTCGTAACTTTTTAAGCCGTTGAATTGCTTGTATAAACTGAGCCCAATTAAACTTTGAAATGAAATGGAAACCCTCCACTTTCTCTTCTTATAGTGTCAAACTTTGCCAATTGCCATCAGAATAATCCATTCTTTTTCCTCTAAATTACATTCGAATGTTTGATTAAAAGTTGGGAAAATGCCTCCAGAAGATTCAAAATCAGTGAAGAAAGCGGAAGTTTAAGATTAAGATGAAGAACATAGCATAGCATAGCATCAACTTTTGGAAACCACAAGAAGAAATTGGCCAATAACTGCAATGACACACCAAAATCCCAGACTAAAGTCAAGAGACAAGAAAAAAATTAAAATACTTAGTATATGTGTAGGCAAGTGAAAGAAAGAAGAAAAAGAAATTTAGATTTTAGACATGCCCAAAATAGTATGGAAGTTGAAAAATGAGCGGTGAAATTAAGAGGTGGATTGTTGATGACGGCCACCACATTAGCTCCGACCTCCACCGTCGTTCTTCCATCTAGGTTTTGCCGTTGATTTCTTAAGCTTTTGGTCCGGACTCTGGAGGTTTTGAATTTTTGAAGGCTTAGGCATAGTGGGTTTTATTAAAAAAAAAGGAGAGAAGGAAAAAAAAAATTGGGCCCCAAAGCTAGGCTTGAGGCGGAGGCCTCTCCTCAAGTTCGGACCTGGTAATACTGAAAAGAATTAAGCACGATTAGTGAGTTATAAGCCGATAAGCCCTTCATTATTATTTGATAGATACAAGGAACGGAGCTAAGGGTCTCACCCCAGCATTAATTATTCTCTCCCCGACGCCATACTCAGTGGCAATAGTTTTGTTGCACTGTCCATTGCTACTTTTGCCTAATTCAACTTATTTATTTAAACCTCGCGTCTCCCTCCTTAAAATTTAGGAAGGCGAGGGAGGTCTAAATATAGACCTAAATTATACAAAGAATAATTTTTAGCATTAATTTGCTTTTGTCTTAGTGTGACAGTATATTAATCGTGCTTAGTTCCATTTGATATTAGTTTCCAAACGTGTCCCAAGTATTACCCTTCTTGAAATCACATTTTTCAATTTGGATATACATGTACGCATGCCTAATTGAGCGGTTGAGAGTGCACGTGTCAAATAATTTATATATTTGAACCCACATTTTCCATAAAAATTGCATGCAATCGCATCGGTGTTGACAACTAAATACGCATATTTAATACACATATGTGAGAACATTCATAATGTCACCTATGGAGTCGAAGGATAACTTTTAAGTTAATGTATCACTGAAGTTACATGAGATCGTTGCTATCTATTCTCAATGGAACAAGTTTGGCCATAAATTAAACCGTTTCACTCTTTCAAAAGTGTATACAAACATTAATTTTTTCAAACTTAGAACAACACAATCAGTAAAATCCAATATCCTCTCGTATTACTTGAAAAAAGAAAAATAAAAAAATAAACAAGAACCATGATTTTTAACTGAAATCACTGTGTATTTGTATGTATTTGTGGAGTGTAAAAAACAAATTTACAGCTTACTTCTGTTGAAAACACCTAGGTTTAAATTATCTGAATCAATTCTTGGGATAGTGCTGTCAATGGCTAGTTACTGAAATCTTTTGAATTCTTGAATATATAGCTGCTGGTGCCTTCTTGCCATGAACTTGAATTCTCTTCATCTTTTAGCTGAAATTGAAACATTGATCCGAATTTCTTGTCGAAATCCCACAAACATGTTTCGGGATTTGTCATCATATTGTTGGCCTGAATCTCAGTATGGCTGTTCACATATGAACTATGACTTGAACTCAGATATGAACATACTCTTGGAGTTGAACTATCAGAAAGATCTGTATCCATGAAATTCCCGGGATTGAAATTTGCTAAATCTGGCATTGAGTTGAACCCATAATTCGAATTCGAATTAGGATTTCCCACAATCTGATTATTCTGATGATCATGATCAGTTACAAAATTTGAATGGTATCCAATAGGATCAGAACTTTCTTGAAACTCAGAGAAGAACAGAGGATCATATTCTTTTTGTCCACTGTTATAGCAAATTATGTTGTTTGGACAAAATTCTTGTCCTATTTCATCTGAATTTGCCAAATTTGGAAGCCCTTTTGGCTGTAGAATCAGATCTCGGGATTCAGGTACTGGTTTATGAGTATTAGGATCAATGCCTTGCTTTATCAGCTTCTTCTTCAGAGATGAATTCCAAAAGTTCTTTATCTCATTGTCTGTTCTTCCTGGTAAGTGTGCTGAAATTTGAGCCCACCTGCAAAATAAGAAATGTCAACCATATAATTATTTTACTCCACCTATGTTTTTCATAGTCGATACAGCCAGACAAAGGAAGAACTAAGAAGGGTTGCATCATGAATATAAAAACACATTTTGTCAGGCATCCCAAACTGGCAAACTCGATAGATAGCCAAAGTAAAGGAGGATTTCATCGTGAATCTTAAGACACATTTCGTTGGGCATCCAAAACAAGCGACACAGCATCAAATAAATCAAATCGAGTGGCGAAGAGAGAAAAAGGAATATAACCTGTTGCCAAGTGCTTCATGGAGACTAATGATCAAATCCTCTTCTTCTTGTGAAAACATTCCTCTCTTAAGATCCGGCCTCAAATAATTAATCCATCTTAATCTGCAACTCTTCCCACACCTCTGTAAACCTGAAAATATCAAAAACCCACAAAATCTTATTCATTCCCGGTTCTTATATTTCTTTTAAACTAAAAACAGGGAAAAAAAAATGGAATGTGGGCTTTCTTACACCAGAACAGCCTAAATTAGAACAGCACTCCAGCAGCATATTCATTCCCGGTTCTTAAATTTCATTTAAACAAAAAACAGGAAAAAAAAAAAAATGGAATGTGGGCTTTCTTATCAAAATTCGACCCTTTCTTTTAGAGTTACTCGCTATTCTTAGTACGGGTTCTTATACTGGATCTGGCGCTTTCACTACTATTTGTTTGTCTACCAAAAATGCACATAGAAATCCGGGAAGGTCAATAAGTCTCAAAGGTTTAAACCAATCTTAGTGCATCACTATCTTACCCGCTGCCAACTGATGGCTGGCTATTATGTAAGTATTAACCCAACCCCTTGTGCTAGCGCTCGGCTCCTGAACTGTACGTGAACTGCCTCTTACGGCCAAAATTTTCGGAAAGGTAGAGTCGAAATTACTAGAAAAATATGTATCAAGATATTTAAGAAGAACCTGCTAATTTAGGCACAGAACTCCAGCAGCCAACACCAAATCTAGTGATGAAATTGTACAATTTTTCATCTTCATCAGGTGACCATAACCCTTTTCTTAGCTTCTCCTTTTCAGTGCAAGAATGGCGCCCCATTTGGATTCTGTTATTTGCAGACACTGAGATATTGACTACTGGTTAACAATTAACAGTGACAGATTGACTGTACTGAGCTTGATGGCTCAATTACTTGGACATTAAATAGAAATATCAAAGTTTTTGATGATTCAAGAGGGTTTAGAGAGAATTATACTTAGACTTGAAGTCATTGTTTAAATAGAGAGGGCCAGAGGGGGGAGTGTGAGAGGAGAGAGAGAGAGCAATCAAGTGGTCTCTAAGCAAATATGGTGATGCTTTGGCATTAGATTGGATTGAATTTTAAGGTATGTCTATAAAAAGGTTTAAATTAAAGGCAACAAAAAATTTAAACAATTCTATAAACGTGCATGTATACTATGCCAGTCTTCATTATAATTTAATAAAATTTTCTCTCTCCTCATTTTAATCACATTCTCTAATAAAATAATATTACATATAAATCCAAAATTTTTCCTTCTTTTTAATAAAACATCCTTAAAAAAATCATTATTCCAAAATACAGTATCCTTAAAAACTCATTAAAATTGATCACAAACAAGTGTACCCAGAGAGAGAGAGAGTAAATTCAAGGTCCCTAACAATTCGTAAATGAAGGTTTATATTTCTATACGTATACACAGTAGACTATACTTAAATCACGATATCTTGATTTTCGAACAATTCAAATTACGACATCTCTAACGTCGAGTGAGTCCGCCCACCAACCTTTTTTCTCTCTTACTTACTTGACATCTGAGGTGTCGTGATTTGAGTAATTCATGTATATGATATCGTGATTTGAGTGTTCAATCCCACCACGAGTGCATATACAATCCTCTCACTAAAGTTTTTGTCGTCCTAATTCTATCATTTATTGCACTCATGTCCTCAACCTTTTAAAGTGTTGGCACCAATTTTCTCGATTAAAAAGCACAGTTATGTGAACGTGATACTCATATGATGTCATACTAAAATTGTTAAATTGTTCAGAAAAGAAATTCGGAAATTATATAATTTATTAATGTTCATGAAATTTATACCTTTGATTAAACCCATCCCGATATCACATAAAAGTCGTGGTAATTTAGCATCCAACTAAACGTTTTCTGTTATTTGGAAATAAATATGAGTACAGCAAATGGTAGGATGAGAACACTCACACTTACGAAAAGTTAAGGACCTCTGAAATTTTTTTACAAGAAATATTTTTTACGTATTAGCCCAATTTGAAATGTAGTCTCGGACCCGCACTCATGAAGTGTATTGTAACGTGACATTCTTAATTATACAGTATAATTAGAGAGTGGTTTGGGTCATAATAATTTGCCTCAAAATTAGATAATGTTGAACAAGTGGCACATGCTAATTAAATTTGCGACATATAAGTTTTAGTGTTTAATTTCTTTCTACTCAAGCACGCTTTTATGTCGACAGGTTGCTAGACATTGCATTTCTTTGCCTATCATTTTCTTCTTTATAATCAATATTTCTTGGTACACGCATTTAGAAAAAAGAGAAATACGTAACTTAAATAAAATGTTTATGTACCAAACCCTTTATTTTGAAATCGTCGGTCTACTTCGTGTGGCGAATGAGAAGCAATTAGAGAGGAGAAATATGGGACTTCTTACCTAGAAAATTTATTGTTTTAGGGACTAATTAATTTATTTGACACGTTAGATAGAACATAATTAGTAAAGAAAAACATGATTCCGACCGTTCGATTCGATCGGAATTAGGAATCGATTTGATTACACTTACAAAACCAAATAAGTCAAGAAATGACATGTTCACAATAAGAACCAACCGACTCACCTCAAAATTTTGACTTTTATTTAAAAAAAAAAAAAATTACTACTTTCCGACTATGATATGACTATTTTTTTACACGTTTCGATTCTTAAAAAATTGACAAAACTAAACTATATTACAGAAGTAAATATATTAATATCACATAGTATCCATCAAATTTTGTGCCACAAAAAGTTACACTTTAATATTTCACCTTGCTAGAGAGGGAGAGAGAGAGGGGGAGAGAGAGAGAGTGAGAGAGCCAAAATTTGTGGTAGGTCAATTTTTGTAGGAACGATAATTCGATTTGGAAAATACAAAATTCGACCGACACAAGCTTTGTCAAAATGACATTTCAATCTTGTACTTGGCTTTTTAGTCCCTCTTTTCCATGGCAAGAGATTGCCGCCCCTTATTTTTTATGAATTTCATCGCCAGCTTGAAAGCAATTCACATTTTTTACATGTTTACTATTAATTTACCATCACGGAGGCTCTATCTTGAACGACTGTTTTTCTTTTCGTATCGTGACTTTACACAAATTTGGAATTGTTTTCAAATAACGGGACTGAATATCGAGATGTCAAAATTTTCAGATCAAATTGTCATCCTTAAAACGTATTAAAAAAATTTCTTGAATTTCCTTTTTCTTTATATTTTTCAAGGTTTCTTAAAACCCAATTTAAGATTTTGAAATCGACCGACACAACTTTGTCAAGAAAGTGGGTGCATGAATAAAATTGGCCTTTAAGAAAACTTCGAAAAGTATAAAGAAAAAATGAAGAGAGAGAGAGAATGTGGATTGCCTTTAAGTTGACGGTGGTATTCTTTTTGACTGTGTGAATGATTAGAAATGTTATTTTGAATTTGTGTAAATTGTTCGATGATATGTTGCCTCGTGACAAAGTGTAAAAAAAATGTAAATAATAATTTACATGTAGCGTGATTGATATTTGAAACGTAATTGATGTTTAAGCTAGTCAATTATAGGAGTATTGGAGAAGACGTGTCGGAAGAATGCCCGTTCGAGAGGGCTACGACTAATGTGGTTAGACTTGAACTCACGTGGTAAAGTACATTTGACTACGGCATATGTTTTTACCCTCGTTCCTCTCTTACCCTTTATTACAATTTTTTGCTTGAAATGTGTTTTAACGTTTTAAGAGAAAAACTTATATAGCCCCTGTTTGGTTAGATTAAAATCAGTTTTTTAGTAGGTTTTGATTAAATTGATGAAATATATGGTTAAAATTAAATGTTAATTATAATCAATTTTTTTTAATTGAATCAAAGAGTAACACGGTAAAAAGACAGATCAAATTTTAGAGACACCTTTAGCTAATAGTTTGCCATCTTTTGTGCATAACCCATTGAGTAATGTTATTCAGTGCAATGGCGTTTAACATCGATTTAGATGGCAGCACTCGTGTCATTAAATTATAGGTTCAATTAAATACAAGGATTTATAACTTATTTATTAGGACATATGATATGTTGACACTTAGACAAGCGTTCAACAACATGAACATTTTGTTCTAACCCATTACAATGGTCACACAGTTTTATAGATTTTCTACTTTGAGTTTAAACAACTTAAATTATACAAAGTTACATGCAAATATCTTCTTACTTTGACCGATTGCTACATTGAATTTTTGCATACCCTACAATAATTATAGAATAATGTTATTTATCACCCGTGGTACTAGAGCACCAGTCTATATGGCATTATATAATTATAAGTTGGGTTACAAAGTTGATTGACAAAATAAAATCTACACCAATTATTTTAAAAACAGATTTTTAAATCATTTGAAATCAACGATCTGGATTTTGCCAACACACTTTGTAATCCAACTTTTGTAACTCAACTTTTTACAAAGAGCTTTATTGTTCATTTATTGACACTTAGTGGCAGCTAGACCGGTATTGTAACATCAGTGATGTTAAATGACGTTACTTACAATTATAGGGAAGAAAACATAAAATTGTATTTTATATGTCTATCTTTCATCACTAATGGTTGGGGTCGGGGTCATGCTCATGGGACAGTCTTTTTTTTTAAATACTTTTTGGATTCTTTATCAAGATGTCGGAAAAAAAAAAAATAATAATAATAATAAAATGAAAAGGATGGATTACACGTGAAAATAGGTTGTCAAAATATGAAAAAATATCAAGGAATATTTAAATAAAGGAAATTGTTTACTAGTTTATTGTTCATATTCCAGATTATTTTTAGTAACAAATGTTACTTATAAGCAAGAATATGGAGTGGTCCACGAGGTGAAAATATGAGATGGTTTAATCCTCTTGCATGCCGACACTCAACTGTAAAAAAGGGTAAAAGGGTTCAATTTACGGTGGATATTAGACTTTTGAGTAATTTAGAGATAATGTCTTTATTAATGATTTTGTTAATAATTATTTCTAAGAGTACATTAGAGATAATAATTAAGTTAGTAAGTAAATTAGTTGAGAGTAGTTAGTAGTCATTATACTATTGGTTGGAGATATTGTTCTTTGAGTACATTGCCGTGCAATTCATTGGCCGAAGCAAGGTGGGGGCATGTGGGTCCCACAATGTTTTTGAATTTTAATTTATTTTTTTTAGATAAAGAGGATTTTATTTTATCTTTACTCAATTTATTTTTTATTTTTTATATGTATCTTATATTCATAGTTTATCCATCATTTGTTAAGAAAAATCCAGCGATCAATTTCAATTTTTAACGAATTAAATGAGATGATTTTATATGTCAATTTTTCCGACTTAAGATTGAAAAAATTCAATCATTCACGATTACTAATAAAAAATTCATCGAAAAATTAAGAATTAGCAATTTTTTTAACAATTTTTCTGATTATACGTCGAGAAATGGTATCATAATAGTTTCTTCGGTTAATTATCTATTTATTATTAATTTTTTTAGGGTGGAGTATGTTGCTAGTACTGAATGATCTCATTTCAAAGTTATGATCATTAGATTTTACACTTATTTATTTACATTATATTTCCAACACACTCCTTCAAATTCAAGTTTAATTTAATTTTCGTCATGATCTCACTCATACATAATTTATATTATGGGTTTTTAGATTTCGAAAATATCACGACAATCTACTCGACAAGTAGAACAATTTAATTTATTTATTTTCATAATTTGACTATCGGATCAAATTCGAATATTTGGCTGAAACGGCACAAAAGTCACTTTTTACATTTT